CAGTGTTTCGTTCTGTTGTGCATAGAGTCACTATGAGTCAGTACCAACTTGATGGTACCTAACAACAACAACAACATATAATGTTACTTATTAAGCAATTACTATCTATGTTAATAAATTGTAAAAGTAATAAAATCAATATACTCATCGCTTGTATAGTCTTCTGTTCTCCATTTTTTTCTTCGGAGATTAACTTTTATCAGCAGAGCAACCATTACACCGAGAATAATGAAAAAGGGAATGAGTAAGAAAAGTGGCCATTTTGTAGGTTTAGAACGTCGGTAAACAATCTCATTGTAGCGGCTTCCTAGGAAAGAAAATGCCAGAGATTTGAAAACAATCACCCAGAACCAGAGGAACATATTTCAGTCCCTGACAGAGGGTGTCAGAGGCTCCCTTCAATATAGTAATAATATTATTAAAGTAATCATTACATCAATTCTGACTCACAGTAACCCTGAAGGGAAGGGTAGAAGTGGCCCAGAGAGTGTCCAAAGTAGCAAATCTTTACAGGACAGGGATTTATCTTTTTTTCTTACAGAAAGCAGCCACCTTTTGATTATTAGTTGAGCACTTAACCAATCTAAGTATTAAGGCCACAGATAACTCCTGAATATGCCCCAAAAATAGAAATAGATGACCATATCAGCACATGTACAGAAACGAGATAAATTGACTGAGGCAAATGAGCTGGAAGTAGATATACATTCCATACTGGAAGATGGACAGGCTTTGGAAATGACTGAGAAAGAATTCAGAAAAATGATTTAAAATGTATCAAAACACTATACAAAGGAGTTGAGAAAAATAAGGAAGCAGTCAGGAAAGCACTATAGGAACAATCAAATAAAACAGATAAAGCATTGGAAACAATCCAACACCTACAGAAAAAGGCCCAAACGATTATTAATAGAATATCAGAAATGGACAATACACTGAAAGGGCAAAGGAGTAGAATTGAAGAGATAGAAGCCAACACTACTGAGTTAGAAGATAAATCTCTCAACACTACTAAGATAGAAGATCAAACACAAAAAAGGACAAAAGAATCTGAAGAAGTCCTAAGATTCATGTTGGACAACATGAAGAGGAATAACTTAAGAAATATCAGCATTCTGGAACAGGAAGAATCACTTAAGTCCACAGACAAGATAGTTGAAGAGATGCTTGAAGAAAATTTTCCTAACATCCTGAAAAGTGTAAAGATAAGCATTCAAGAAGCTCAACGAACTCCAGGAAAGATAGACCCTAAGAGACAATCACCAAGACTTTCAATAATCACGGTTTCCAAAATCAGAGATAAGACAGAATCTTGAAAGCAGCTAGGGAAAAGAGAAGTGTAATATACAAAGGCAAGTAAATCAGATTAAGTTCAGATATCTCAAGAGAAACCATGCAGGCAAGAAGGCAAAGGGGAGACATATATAAAACCCTGAAAGACAAAAACAGC